TCTTAAATATTTGGATTGATTGCCAGATAAATGAATATATATAAATACAAATAAAAAGATATTTGATTGATGAATATATATAGAAAACTGAGAAGATATTTGATTGATGAATAAAGATATATAGAAACCTGAGAAGATATTTGATTGATGAATATATATAGAAATCTGAGAAGATATCTGATTGATGAATATATAAATATAGAAAACTGAAAAGATATTTGATTGATGAATATATATAGAAACCTGAGAAGATACTTGATTGATGAGTATATATAGAAAAGTACGAGGATATTTGATCGGTGGTTCGGCTTGTAAATTTGGTTTTCTTTCAAGTTAATTATTCTTTTAATTTATGTAAGTCCAATATAGGGTATTAAGTCTTCGGCATGCCAAAGATAGACGTTCTAAATGGTTGTGAGAGTGAAAAACTTGAAAGTTAGCTACATCAAGTAGCTGGGAATTCCTGCACTAGCCTGATACTCGAGCTTGGCTCTGAGTAGCGCCTACCCGGTTGCATGACTTTGATTTTGCAGGGTATAAGAGCAGCAGCAGCAGCAGCCAGCCAGCCAGCCAGCCAGCCAGCCAGCCAGCAACAATATGAAACCTTCATTAGCGAGCAGCTAGCTGGAACTACTGCAAGGAGGGCAGGATTTGGGTGGATTGGTTAAGGATTGCAGCCAGGAGGCAGAACTTAGGCAGACAATCCGGGCGGCAGGTGGCAGGCGGCAGGTGGCAGGTCGCATTGAAAACGCTTCCGGCCATACAAATTGTACGTGAAACGTGAGAAATTAATTTTCAAGGTGCTCGCCAGTGCGCTGGAATGGCCATCAAAGTCGCAACCGGTTCGATCTGGCGTTAACCAGACACACACACACACACGCACACACACACACGCACACCTGTATACACCTGGTCTTTAATCAAGCAAAAAGTGAAATTTTGCAATTTGCTGGCCCCCAAATTGGGCCCGACTGCAAATTGGGCGCTATCTAAAATTGGAGTCATCGGACCTTGGCCAGTTTTCGATTTGAACAAACATTAGCTATGTTCGTCGTCTATATAATTGATCCGTTAGAGTGCTCCGTTATGCGTAAAGGGATCTACTTGAATGAGTCGCATATCGATTGTTATCGATAAATATGTAAATAGGAGAAGTTATAAACTTGTGCTGCGTTTGGTAGAGTATTTAGTTTCCCGTACGTTCAGACGAATGAGATATATATAAATTTTAATGAGTCGCATATCGATTGTTATCGATAAATATGTTAATAGAAGAAAATATCGATAAGAAGTTATAAGCTTGTGCTGCGTTTGGTGGAGAATATAGTTTCTCTATCGTTCAGATGGATTAGATATATATATATATATATATATATTTCGATGAGTCGCTTATCGATAAATATGTAAATAAGAGAAAATATCGATAAGAAATATATGAACTTATTCTGCGTTTGGTAGACGATAGGGATATATACATAAATGTATATGTATTTTTGTATGAGTCGCTTATCGATTCTTATCGATAATATGTAAATATGAAATATATCGATAAGAAAATAAGCTCTTTCTGCTTTTGGTGGACTAAAAAGTTTCTCGGATCATAAGGATGAGAAACATATAAACAGACTGACATACCCAAATCGGCTGAGCTTCCCTTCCTGATCAAGAATATATATATCATATGTGTTCGCTTGGGAATTATATGTATATATTTAAAATAAGAGGAAAATTACCAACTAAAAATTTGGAGTAGAAATTGAAATGATTTTTTTTGCCACTCAAAGAGCGTGTATATCATTTTTATTTTTGTTCCATCTTAATTAAGTTTTATTTCAATTTAAATTAATCAAATCAATCATAAATTTCAAATTGATTTGTTCGTACTTTTTTTTTTCTTCTATCTATTTATGCATTGGTCAAGAGCAAGGCAAACGCAAGCAAAGCATGCCAGAAATGTGTTAAAGGGCGCCGAGGGTGGGAAGCGGGGGTGGGCGGGGACAAATGGCGAATGTGTGCGTGCGTGTGCGTGTGCGTGTGTCTATTTGGCATATGCATGCAAAGAAATGTCAAAATTCAATTTAATGCTGCCGTAACGAAAATCTGTCAGCTTGCAGCCCAAATAATGTCAAAGCCATACACACGCACACACACACAAATAATACACGTACACACAGTCACAAAGTATTGCACACACACACACACACACACACACACTCCCATTCGCACAAAGGGACTGCGCTAGCGTCTGTCAGAGGCAATTGTGGCTGATTTGCGCTTTTTTTTTTGCTTGACTTTGACTCAGAAAGTAGAAGCAGAGGCAGCAACGGCGACGGCGACAGCGGCAAAGATAAACGGTAAATGCGCTCACTCTCCAACTATTTAACGCACTGAGTTAAAGAGTGAGAGAGAGAGAGAGAGAGCATGTTGTTGTTGTTGCTGCTGCTATTGAAAGGGTTCGACATTCGACTGCGCGTCGCTTTGACGTTGACATGTCAAATGATTTTCACAAAAGCAGCGCAGCTGCCAGCTAAAGTGAAGCTCTTACAGCAAGCGCAAGACGTTGCGATAAAGCGACAGCTGCTGCACTCGCTGCAGCGGCAGCGGCACCGGCAGCGGCAACGTCAGCGACAAAGCGACAGCTGGCATTGAGCATCTGATGGCCGCGGGCAGCGAAAAGCTGTGCGAAACGCTTTTTGAGCGCAATGTGCAGGTACTTTTGCGAGTTTTGCAGATCAGCTAGTTGCTATCCCTCACTCTCTCCCCCCCCATCTCTCCCACGCTCTGGGAATATTTACAGTTGAGCTGTCTGTGTTGGGTGAGCTTATAAAATGAATAGAAATAGCAGTAAATAAAAACGAGGGAATAAACAATTATGTATATTGATAGGGATTGAGATAATAATAAGAAAAATAAGAATTTAAATGTATAACAATAATAATAATAACAATAAAATTAATCACATAAAACTAATAAAAATCGTTTTATTATAATTACCCAATACAAGTCTGTTAACTGTATAACAGTTTTTTTTTATATATGCGCACAAAAGTATGCTAAAAAGTCGTTGCCTTATTTACGTATTTCATGTAGTCATTAATATTAAAGCATGCAAAAAAAAAAAAGCATTTGTTGCGCTTATGGTCGGTCCACTGTGCTGAATAAAGCGCTGCCTTTTCACTGTTTTCTGATTTTAAGAAGCGACTTTTTATGTTTTTCCCGTTCTTCTGATTCGCCCATGTGTGCGTGTGCGTGTGTGTTTGTGTGTGTCACATTTTTAATTCCGGCGCTTACATGTGGGGGCGTGGCAATAATGGGCCGCGGCAGCATTGAAGTGGTTAGCTGGCAGCAGAGGGGGGGGGGGGGTTGGTTATGGGAGGTGTCTGCGCTGTTTATTTGACTGTTATGAGCGGAAATCCGAGTGCTTTGACTTTTGAGAATTAGCTATTGTGATAACATTTATGTGTGTGCGTGTGCTTCAACGCACTTAATTGGGCAAGCGATTGCCTGACTTGCTTACAAATGCGGATGCGAAAACGTGCGACAGGCTAAAGAAGCGGCACAAAAGCAGAAGCCAAAAACCAGCGGCACGCACACGCACACAATATATATGTGCGTGTGTGTGCGTGCGTGAATATTGCATGCGATAAATTATTTTAAAGAGCCTGGCTTCCCCCCCCCCCCCTAACTTCTCACTCCGCGTTAGCCCTTTGCATCTATTTATTGTTGCGCGCGGCATCAGTTTTAATATTGTTACGAATTTTATTTACGCGCACAAGAAAAAAATGCTTATAAAATGCTCATGACATGCCCGCCCCAGCCCGCCTCCCGCCTTTCCCCCGTCGCCACGCCCCCTCGCCACAAGCCCCTCGGCGTTTACTGTTACGGCCCGTCAAACGTTTTCATTAATAATTGTTGCCTTTGTTTTTGGCATTTGTCGGCGGTTTTGGCGGCTACTCAAATAAAATTTATTGTTTCTGATATTTCTTTAGTCATTATTATTACGCACATTTATTATTTATTATTTATTTATTAATTTGTTTTACATGCGGATTATGCGGGCCGTGACAAAACACACACACACACACACAGACACACACACACAGACACACGAGCACAATTAACGTTTGAACGAACTGCGCACAGTGGGACCACAGCACAAATATGCAGTGAAAATAACTTGTATGCGTTTGCTCATGAATTTCGTTTATTTCGATTTCGATTCATCGAAAATCAAGTCTGCTCTAGTCGCAAGTTGTAGTTTCCGATATAAACAGATAATGGGCATGTCCTTCTCTTCTTCTTTATGCCTCATACTACGGGCAAAGGGGCTGACGTGATTAACTTCGGTGTTTTTAAAGTCCGATCTCCGGGGTGTTGGTTTGGGGTTCACCGAGGTCGCATAATATTCAATAGTTATTCCCAAACAACCAAGATAAAAATCGATTTTTATCGATAACATAAATAAGTGACTGCTAATTTGTTTATACCACACAAGAAACCATGCGATCCAGCTCGAGTAAGTAATTTAGCTCTTAAAATTTTCGAGTTATTCCCAAAAAATTCCCTCTCAAAATCGATATTTATCGGTAAATTGAAAATGGGAGTAGATACTCGAAACTCGCTTTGAGAATGGAATAAGTAAAATATTTGCAATCTGTATGTCATATAGGAAGCTACATACCAAGTTGGGCTTGCCTAGCTCTTGTAATTTTTTTTATCGATATTTATCGATATATTCAAAATGAAAGATATCGATAACAGAAAAAAACAATAAGCTCGTTTTGTGCATGACTTTAGTTGACAACAAATGCAACGGCAATCTAAATTTCGCCTGTCAACTTTAACCGCTTGTCAAGCCATTTGACACGAGCTCCACAACATCGTACACCAAAAGCCTCAGGCAGACACAAAGCAGGCGGCGTCTCGCACTTCAGTTGAGTTTGTTCAGTTGCCAGCTTGTTGTTCAAATTGTATTCAGTCCAAGTCCAGTGAGAGAGCTGAACACAACGAAAATCATTTAAACAACAACAAAAAAAAACAAACTAAAAAAAAGTCATTGTGCTTTATTTATATATTTTGTAAAGTCACTTGGGCGAAAATCGTAATAAATTGAACAAGCTGCGCTAAATAATATATATATAAATATTTTATATATAGATCATATATTGTTTACCAGCCCAGCCCCACTCAATATGAGCAGTAAGTACGAATCGGAATCGAATCGAATCAAAACGAATCGAATCGAATCGAATCGAAATATCGTGAAATATCGTTTCTGTTTCGCAGCAAAAGCTCAGGATATACAAGGACCACCACTTGCTTTCGAACGTGATCCGGCGTGTCCATTATCAGCCGTACCCAGCGCCGAGTCGGAGCCGCCAGTTGATATATTGGACATTGATCGGCCCTGCAAAGATAACGATATCGGGCCCGTGCCGCTCGATAACTATACATTCAGCGAGTCGGACAAGCACGACGTCTGTCTGCAGAGTCGCCGCGACTCGAGCACCAATCCGGATCGCCCGTATTCGCTGAACAACATGGACCCGGAGCCGGATCTAAAGGAGCCCCTCGGCCCCTGTGGCGATTATGTCGAACAGTCGCATACGCCGTGCATCAAGCTCGATAACAAGGATAACTTCTATTCGCGCAATCCGATAACTGGCTCCGGACTGAACGGCGACGGTGTCGGCGGTCTCAAGCCAAAGAAGCTCAAGAATCGAGGTTGGTTTATTGCATCATATAGATATATACATATATATATATATATATATATATAATCTAGAGACGATACGATACTGGCACAGAGATGGGCGAGGCATTTCGCGATATATTCAAATGCCGATACTCATTGTTCGTCTGTTATACGTAGAGCGGGGCTTATTATATTCCTACTCATTTTCATCGAATCGATAAATATCGATTTTGATAAATCGTTTTTGAGCCTTAGCCGAAAATTGATGGAGCTAGATGCCTTGTGATGCCATTTACAAAGCCTCCTCCCATTTTCATAATATCGATAAATATCGATTTGGGTAGTTTGTTGTTTTTAACATAGCTCAAAGATAGATATATACACAAGTTGAAAGATGGTTTTCGTAAAGTACATACAGATAAGGAATATATATAATGTTCCAATGTTTGTAGTATCGATAAATATCGATTTTGGTAGCATCTTGTTTTTTAACATAGCTTGCAGATAGATAAATAGACAACTTGGTATATAGGTTTTCGTAAAAGTATATGCAGTTAAGGAATATTTCAGGGAGCTTTTCCCAATTTAGTATCGATAAATATCGATTTTAAGACACGGTAGTTTAACCATAGCTCGAGAAGTATTGGACCTTCATGTACCAAACTTTGTAGCTAGGTACTCGTATACCTTATACAGACTATAGATATATTACCCTCTATATAATCTTCGTCATATCGAAGAACAATGGGGATCGCTTGAAATACCGTCGCCTATCTCGTAAACGGCTTGAATTCGTCGCAGCATCTATTTATTTAATTTTCTTTCGCCATTTATTTGACACTTTGTAGAGGGCAATCCAGTTACTGGAGAGGGTTATAAGCCGGGTGCAACTGATTTTATACAGCCGGCGATTAAGGAGGGCAGCCAGCCAATGAATAGCAACAACAATGGTAATCGTGTTCCACCCGGCGGCTATTCGTCGGGTCTTTGGTAATTTGTACAAATTTTCGCCAGCCCTGCAAACCAACACGTTCAATATAACAAAACGCATGGAAATTATATATATGTATAGATTGCAAACGGGAGCGCTTCCCTCACTCTCCGCGATTTGCATACCTTGAGGTTCAGCAAGCTGCAGCAGAGCAAAAAACACGAAGGATAAGACAGCTTTCAAAGGACGAGCTGTTCCACACAAACCAAAAAAAAAAAAAAAAAAAATACCGAAAATACTGAAAATACCAAATACTACAATAACAAAGGCAGAAAATTATCGATATCTGCTAGCGGAAATATTCCGAAAAAAAATACTAAAATTATATTTTTGCCAAGAAAATACCACTTAGCTCACTGCCAGCCAATTTGACACTGCAAATACTAAGCACAACAAGGAACATTCAAAACGAAGAAAATACCAACTCTTCTTGCCAGGAAAGACAAGAAAGACAAAACTAAGTTTTCGACGGGCCGTTAACACTAAGAAAATACTAAAGACTTAGCTCTTCTAGACCATAATATACCAAGTTATGTTTGTGACAAGAAAAAACAGTATTATAAACAGCGTTAACGACAGTCTGACTAGAAATACCGAAAATACTTAATACCAAAAATACTAAATTCCAACTCTTCAACTCTGCCAAATATATTTAAAAACTGCGTCAACCACGAGCCGCTCACTTAATCTCTCTAGCCGAATCAACAAAAAAATACAAAAAATACTAGTTTATATTTTTGCCAGAAAAGACATCAGAACATCAGAAGAACTGCGTTTACCGTGAATTGCTCAATAAAATACCAAAACAATCTAA